TATGTGTGGGCCATTGCTTCAAAATTTGCAGGGGTACTTTCTGTGGACGTCGCCTGCACCCAGATTGCTGAAAGCAGGAGACTCACTTGGTGACTACTCAATCGGAGGGCAGTCAGATCCTGAAGAAGATTAGATAGATAAATCACTCAAAAGAGATCATTAGAAAAATGACAATAATCACAGTAAGGCAAAACCAAATGATAGATTGTGTTGCAACTTTCAAAGACTTGTGACATACTGCTTTTCCATTGACCATAGCATTCTAGAAACTAAATGATCGACCACAAGATGGACATTTTATAGATTGAGTCATGCCATTATCCAAAACTTGACTGACTTCGTCCTAGGGTTTGTCATTGCTTTCATCCTGAATCGAGAAACTTCCATTCTTTATCCTCTGTGAAGCAATTGGTGAAAACCCCACAAGAGCTTGTGCAGGTCCTCCATTACGAACTAACCAAGGACAAATAAGAGATGGCATAAGCACAATGTAGAAAACATGGTGTGCCCCTACTCTTGTTTCGTGGTCTGGGTGGGCCATTGCTAAAAGTAACTGGCGAAATAGAGCATCAGGAAAAGCCTGAAGCAAGAAATTATGCCCCAGGGTTAGATGATTTTTATAAACTGAAAACATAGTAACATATTGCTATATGAGGAAATCGAATCTTGCCTTCTTGTTATATGAAACATTAGGAATGGAAGAAACAATTTGTGCAGTCCGATAAACAGCGAATATTGTTGCTTAGATACAACAGCATTACTTGGGATGTTCTCTAGTGCCACAGCCATCATATCAAGAATGGGCCCAGCATCGCCAACCTGTTAACAACACAATTGACATTAAGTTAAAATCATGCACCAAATATGGTAGTTATATTACACCAGCTGGTATCATATTTTAACCTGATCCCTTCTCAAGTTTACTTATTTCAGTAATGTTAGACAGAAACCACCACAGGACAGAAACCACCACAGGGAGTTTTGTGTTTATATTTGAACATTAGGGAGGTTATGCGCACATGAGCCAAACCACAAGAGGGTAAAGTCAAAATTTCCCTTCTTTCCTTGTGTTTCCAAAATATTTCTATTTCAAAGTTGACTGAAACAGCACACCAAAACTAAATTTGATCCTTGCTCACGGGTTTACTTCTTAATAGTGGATTGTTGAGATTTTATGTGTTGTCTAAGTATGTTCAGAAAATTAAAAACGAAGGATAAATCTGATACAACTTAATCCTAAGGGGTGAAACTTCTCCACTTCCACATGGAAAAAACCACACCAGGGCTAAAACTTTCCCCCACTACAACCAGACCCAGTTTTCACAGTTTTTTGTTACAACCTATTAATTCCATAACTTACCTATTTCACTACCATAACTGATGAAAATTACATAGAGATATGCATACAAGAATAGTCACGACAATTACCTAATTTCCTAGCACCTCTCCATTACTCAGTTTCAAAAGGTATTACTTGACAAAATAAACAGGGCTTTTGGAATTTGACCATCAACAGAGTTCTTGCTAGTTAAACGAGTTGGAAAAACTCATAAAGATTTTTCATGTACTAGGCATGCACAATGAATGAGCAAAGTTGACCTATATAAGCATGGCTTGAAATTTCATAGGCTCCCAAAAATCAACTGCAGTTCAGAAGTAACAGAATTTGGAAATAGCATACACATAACGATCTTTAGGGTCTAATATTTCATAATCTTCCAAAGTTAGATTCCACTCTTCGAATTTTTGAAGTAGTCATTCGAGATGAAGCTTGAAACACATCTAAAAGCCATTTACAAACCTTATTTGCGAGTTGCAAGATGCATTTTTCTAATGCTGACTGAAGATCAGCGTTCCACTTGTCCGAGTTATCACTAGGGCTTGATGCTTCAGCTGAACATTGCATGCATTTGCGTAACTGTTTCATCAGTTCAGTTATTGCACCAATGATTGCAACTGAGGCCTCCAGCTTTGCATTCTGTCCAAGTTGTGTGGTGAAATTAACAACACGTATCTGTTTAATGGGCTGTTTGACAATATTCTTATGATCCAAGTGCTTGACCAAAATAGATAACAAAAGATGAGAATTTATCCCTGGTGTTAACAAAAAAAATAAAAGGGAAGCAATTAGAATCACATACATACTCGTTTACAGAATATTTAAGGAAAAGGACTGAAGTTCCAAATGTAACCTGATTCCTCCAACAGCAACTGTATATATGTCAAAATAGAACAGGCAAGTCCTTTCTCTGAGGACCAATGATTTTCAGCATCAAAACTATGAAAAAGAGGTTCAAGTAAACGCCGCGCAGTTGTAGCTTCCTTTGCCAATCTGGCCATATTATACAAGCAAACCCTAGACCAGTAAGAGGGACTTTGAGATGCATCCCTGTTCAAGTGACAAGAATCGAAAGATGTCAACAACAACAAATTATTTCCTAAAATGCAAAGAAACTTACATGGACACCCCCTCAACTAAAACACCTTACATTTGGACCCTTTAACCATAAAATTGAATTGCTTTCACCCCACCAAAGGGGGGTTTATTTGTACAATTTTTATGATTGAGGGGGTCCAAAGTATGGTTTCTTAGTTGAGGGGAATTGAATGATATTCAGTGATAGTTGAGAGGAGTTTTATATTCTTATAAATTATGGGGCCTTACATCTTGACCCTCCCCATCATCTGCATCATTATCCTCAACATCATTCCCATTTTCTGTTTCATCTTGGCCAACCTTCTCCTCAGAAGTATCTTGTTCATCATCAGATTCTATGATTGATTGTTCTCTTGCAACTGCTTTTGAACGGCGAGGTCGCAATCCTTCTCCCCGAGGCAATGATCTAGTCTCGAGGACTTTTTTACGCTTATGAGATGAAAAATCATCTTGACTTGCACTATTATCGATCCGGTTCCTGGAACGTCAATATGTAGGTCTCTGAAACAAGATCACACAGAACTTCAGCTCCCAGATAATGAATTATCTTAGACAGTACTGTGAAAGCAGGGAGCTCTGAAACACTCAAGCCAAGCTAAAAACTAGCCTATACAAATAATGCATGCTTAGGAGAGGATAAAACCTTACCATCAGGTCATTGTCCTCCATTCCAGAACTATCTGTGTAATCTTCCAGATATACAGAAATCCTCCTCTTCCTTGTAGAACGCCGAAGGTTGGTCGCAACTGACTGACGTATGAGAACACATTATCAAGTAATTGCGAAAAGGTTAAGTTCTCACTACACAAAGAAGGCATAAATCTAGCAGTTTCATAAGGATGAAACGCCAAACAGTCAAAGGCTCAAAGCATGGCAATCTGTATGTACACAACAAGAAGGTAATACAAATGCCATCAAATAAGCGCACACATAAAAATAAAAAATAAAAAAGCACCAAAATGTATCATTCCAGACCAGTGAAGACAGTCTACAACTGCAATGAACTCCCAGGTTTGCACAATGGAAACGCCGAACAATATTGGAAGCACATCAGGAATGGTCAACAATATAAGCAGTCAAAGTTCTACAGTACCATCACTATTGGATCCAAATGCCCCATTTTATTTTTAGTTTTGCACTAATGATCAATATGTATAATATGTAATGTTTGGTTAATCATGGACGATATGTAATGTTTGTTGGGTGATAATGTAATACACTGTTCAATGTCTCCTTTGATCAAAACAGACAGGTTCAATTAGACAAGTTAAATTAGACTGTTGAATTAGACTGTGTTCTTAAAATTTGTTCAGTGAACAAGTTTAATTACTGGTCTGTTTTGTTGCTGGTCTTAAAATATCTTGCTGGTCTGTTTTGTTCACTACATAGGTTCAACTGCACAGGTTCAGTTACACAAGTTCAACTGCACAAGTTCAGTTACAGAGGTTCAGGTTCAACTGGACAGGTTCACTACACAGGTTCAAACAGACCCAGAAAAATGGAGACAGATGCATCTTAATTAGACTCTGTGAATTTGTTAAAACCTGTGTGAATTTGTGTGAATTTGTTCAAACCTGTGTGACTGAAACCTGTTGAAACAGACCTGTCTGAATTTGTTCAAACAGACCCAGAAAAATGGAGACAGATGCATCTCAATTACACTCTTTGAATTTGTTCAAATCTGTGTGACTGAAACCTATTGCAACAGACCTGTTTGAATTTGTTCAAACAGACCCAGAAAAATGGAGACAGATGCATCTCAATTACACTCTTTGAATTTGTTCAAACCTGTGTGAATTTGTTCAAACCTGTGTGACTGAAACCTGTTGCAACAGACCTGTCTGAATTTGTTCAAATAGACCCAGAAAAATGGAGACAGATTCATCTCAATTAGACTCTCTGAATTTGTTAAAACCTGTGTGACTAAACCTGTTCAAACAGACCTCCTACAATTTGTTCAAGCCAACAGACTTGTATGTCATGAAACAATAGCGACCTGTGTTCAAACAGACCCAAAACAATACAGACCCGTGTTCAAACAGACCCAAAACAATAGACCTGTGTTCAATCCAACAGACCTGTGCTGAAGCCAACATACTTGTGTTCAAACAGACCCAAAACAATAGAGACCTGTGTTGAACCAGACCCAGAACAATAGACCTGTGTTCAATCCAACAGACCTGTGTTGAAGCCAACAAACCTGTGTTCAAACAGACCCAAAACAATAGAGACAGTTACACTGTGTGTATGCATCTCATCTCAAGACCAAAACAGACCCAACAAATAGAAACCTATTGAACATGGACCATTCATGAGTGAACTTGTTTAAACCTGTATATATGCATCTCATTCAAGCTAATAGATTTTTTTAAACCTGTTGAACATGGACCATTCATGACTTTCAACCTGTGTGTACACTTCTCATTCAAGCCATCATCAATAACTTTATATTACTCTATCAATGCGTCTCATTCAAGCCAATAGATTTCAGAATCTATAAACATTGATATCCAAATCACTATTCAGCCTTATGTCATGGCTAACATATCAAATGCTCCCAACATACAAAACACAAAACAAAATAAAATAGAAAATAAAAATAGTAGGCAGTATTGATTACAAAATACAACATACAAAAGAAGTACTGATTACATTCATAACATTGTCCAAAACGTAACAACTGATTCATTTACATGATAAAGTAAAAAAATATACAAAATACAATGACATAAGTCATTGCTTTCAAAATCTTCTCCACCCTTTGAAGCCTTCTATCATGCTCATAAACTGCATTGTCCATCTCACTAAGCCTTCTTCTTAGATCATTAATTTCTTCTGTTCTTGAATCTATTTGAGGTCCAGCATTGGCACGGATTGTGGAGGTAACGTCATCGTCATCTGCGAACTTGAAGTAATTGCAGTGTTTGTTCGTCCTCTACAATGAACAAAAATCAGTTAATGAATAAATGACAAATAAAATTTGTAAAAAGTAAAAGATTTATTTATATAACAGATACTTAAATATTTTGACAGGCAAACAAAAAACACACATCCTTCATTCCCATTCTCATTGGTTCATACAATATGCATGGAAGCTGTTCTTCCACAATTACACAATCTTGGCTTTAATCTTATGTTCCTCTTATTAGTAGAAGATTTAGCCATTTTTTTATCTGCAAAAAAAAGTACAAACAGATTTTCATAATCTATTAGTAGAAGATGATGTTCTTCCTATTTTTTATCTTCCACGCTGTTCTACCTATTAGTAGAAGATGATGATTCAACTACCTATTACTATAAGATTATGAATCAAACAGGCCTTTGTGAATTTGTTCAAACAGACACAAAAAAATGGAGACAGATGCATGTCATGAGTGAAACTTGTGTGAATTTGTTCAAACTTGTGTGAATTTGTGTAAATTTGTTCAAACCTGTGTGAATTTGTGTAAATTTGTTCAAACCTGTGTCAATCTTCATAATTAGGCACATCACCAATTAGGCACACCACCAATCTTCACAATGTTAATCACCAATCTTCATAACCAATTTATAGGCACACCATGGTGGTGTGCCTAATCTACAGGTCTGTTTTTAAGAGGATAAATTGGTTAACATGGTGGTGTGAAGATTAGGCAGCTGAGATGAATGATAAACTATTAATTGGTTATGATTAAATTCATCTCAGTTTATCATGGTGGTGTGCAATTGGTTATGATTAAATTGGTGTGCAATTGAGCTGAGATGAATCATAACCAATTTAATCATCCCTTTCTATAGGCACACCATGGTGGTGTGAAGATAAGGCACACCACCATGTTAACCAATTTTGGTTAACTCCATAATTAGACACACCACCAATCTTCACAATTTAATCAAAACCAATGTTAATCATAATAGAGTTCAACCTTGAATTAGGCACACCACCATGTTAACCAGGTTAATCTTGATAACAGAATTCATTGTTGATAACAGGTATATTTTGCATGACCAAACTAATCACAGAGGTGTATTTCAAGCAAAACCCTAACCCTAACCCTAACCTTAACCTTAACCCTAACCCTAACACAGATTGCAAGCAAAAGCCCAAACCCTAACCTATCACAAATTAAAGCCAAATCCCAAACCCTAACACAAATTGCAAGCAAAATCCAACCCCAATCACTCCAAATCGACTAATTGCCACAAAAATAGAAGCCAAACGTAAACCCTAACAAATATGATTTCAGGTTTACCTCAGATCACAGGCTGTCATTCGTCCTTCGTCATCATTCGTCGTCTTCCGTCGTCCTCCCACGTCTTTCGTCCACCGTATCATCGTCCTTCGTCCACCGTGAAAGGGATGAGGCAAGAGTGAGTGAATCAAAGGGATGAGGGGAGAGACGTGAGAGTTGAAGGTGGTATATTTGTACTTTGGAGCCATTCGAACATTTAATATTCGAGGTATGGATATTTTTGTTAATATAAATATTTACACTATAAAATATAAATATTTATATCATCAAATCAAATTGTTAAGTATTTAAAAAATATTTATAAAGATAAAATTATCAATAAAATATCTTAAATATGATAATTAAAATTTAATGGATCAAATGATTACTAATAATAGGATTTATTTGAATATAATAATATATTATAAATTAATTAAGATACAAGAATTTGAAAAATTATTTCTTAATATATTCTTCCTTTTCTTTTCTGTTTTTATGATTTTGTTTTTTTGAAAATTAGAACAAGAATATGATTTATTTTTTTTTAAATTAGAATAAGAATTGTTTTATATATTATTTTTATTTTAAAAAATATATATTTTATTCTTTTTTTTTTTTCCTTAATGAAAAGAATTTTTTATTTTCTCCATCTCCTCCATTTACTCACCAGTATTTATCGACCATCATCCAGGTCTAATGAGTTTCAATCGGGGCATTTCCCTAAATAAGTCAAAATAATAAAGGATTCCCAAACTAAGCTTAGTTTTGAAAGAATTCCCAAAATGAGCTAACTCGCGGTTCACAATCGCGAGTTCAACAGTTTTCCACCCCTGTCGCACGAAACCTGCCAAATTTGAAACTCGCTGTTACGAAAAGCGAGTTTGATTAAGAACTCGCAGTTACGAAACGCGAGTTTAATTAATTTTTTTTTTCCTTTGAACTCGCTTTTTACAAGCACGATTTCATCCCAAAAAAATTTTGTGCTGAACTCGCTTTTTGAAACCACGAGTTCATCAAAAAATAGATTTCTTCTGAACTCGCTGTTCATAACCACGAGTTTATCGAAAATTATGAACTCGCTATTTATAACCACGATTTTAGGGCAAATTTTTTTTTCTTTAAGTGAAATCGTGGTTCACAACCACAATTTTAGAACTTATATTTAACCCCCCAGCCCTGTGTTTTGCATTCACGCTTTCTCCTCTCTCCCTCTGCTGTCTCTCTCTCGCTCTTTACTCCTCTCACTCTGTTCTCTCTCTCTCTCGAGCTACCTGTTCTCTCTCTCTCTCTCTGGAGCTCCCTGCTCTCTTTCTCTCTCTCTCGAGCTCCCTCTGATTCAGTACTGTCTCTCTCTCGTTGGTATGGCTTCTATCATCTACTTTACTGTAAATAAATTAGGATTAGAGTTTATATTTGTGAATATATTTGTGTTTGTGAAAATGTGAATAAATTAGGGTTAGGGTTCATGAATGTGGGGTTAGGGTTAGGGTTTATATTCGTGAATAAAATGTTGTGAAATCAGAAATAATAAATTAGGGTTACGGTTTATATTTGTGAAATTTTAAGTATAGATAATTTGTTGAATGTGAATGTTGAATGTGTTGAATTTTAATTATAGATAATTTGTTGAATTTGTTTAATTATAGATAATTTGTTGAATTTTAATTATAGATAATCTGTTGAATGTGAAATCTTTTGCTATAGATAATTTGTTGTTGAATTTGTTGAATGTGTTTAATTATAGATAATTTGTTGAATTTGTTGAATGTGTTTAATTATAGATAATTTGTTGAATTTGTTGAATGTGTTTAATTATAGATAATTTGTTGAATTTGTTGAATGTGTTTAATTATAGATAATTTGTTGAATTTGTTGAATGTGTTTAATTATAGATAATTTGTTGAATTTGTTGAATGTGTTTAATTATAGATAATTTGTTGAATTTGTTGAATGTGTTTAATTATAGATAATTTGTTGAATTTGTTGAATGTGTTTAATTATAGATAATTTGTTGAATTTGTTGAATGTGTTTAATTATAGATAATTTGTTGAATTTGTTGAATGTGTTTAATTATAGATAATTTGTTGAATTTGTTGAATGTGTTTAATTATAGATAATTTGTTGAATTTGTTGAATGTGTTTAATTATAGATAATTTGTTGAATTTTAATTATAGATAATTTGTTAAATGTGAAATCTTTTGCTATAGATAATTTGTTGAATGTGAATGTTGAATGGTTTATATTTATCTTAAATCTGTTTATAATTGTGAAATCTGTTGAATGTGAAATCAGATTTGTATTGAATGTGAAATCAGA